ATTCATATAGGCTTTTTATTATTTAAATTTAAATTTATATTGAAAATGAAAAATTCAGAATATATTCAGTTAAAAAAAAGAAAGAAATACTTGCTTTATTACTTTCACATATATTATGGGAATTACTTATCACAATATCCTGAAGCCTCACCTATTTTACTGCTATGTGGATAAGGTTACTCATACTCAAAGAGATTCAGTACTTTGTTAAAAGTAACAATGAGTAAGTTGAAGTGACAAGATTCAACTCAAGGCTTTAGACTCCAAGAGTTACTCCAGAGTACTCTTACTTACATCTGTACTTTTGTCTTCATTTTTATAATTGTTTGACACTTTGGCATTACAGGATATCATAAGGTATTATGATGTAACAACCTTCTTGTTCACTAGCTCTAATTTTTTAAAAATATTTTACTCAACATTTTAAGAGGAAGAGTCCTAAGGACTGTTTTGTGGGCAGCATGATACAGCTTGGAGTTTGAATCAAAATCCATTGTAGGAGAGAGAGATGATTAAAGAAAGGTTATTTATTCAATCAACACATTAATTGTGCAGCTACTCTATCCTATACATTTCTTCAGGAGCTGGAGGATTGGTGATCAGAAGAGATGAAACAACTTATTCTCTTAGAGCTTTCCTTTAGTTGTGGGGGGGGCACAGAAAATAAGTGGAAAAATTATTAAAATATACAATTCAGGTAAGTGATAAGGAATAAGGAGAAAATAATGCAAGAAAAGCAATCGAGAGAGTCATAATATGGAAAAGGTGCCTGTAATTTTAGATAGAATGACTCAGAGAAAACCCTCTGTGAAAAGGTGACATTTGAATAAATAACAAAAGGAGGGTGGCAAGTAAGCCATGCAGATACCTTTTGGAAGAGTATTTCAGGCCAAAGGAACATCAGATGCAAAGACCTTCAGGCTGAAATACCCCCGACCCATTCAAAGAAGGCCAGTGGAGGTGGAATGAACTGAAGGAAGGGAAGAATAGGAAATGATGTTACAGGGGTGCAGGTCTTAGGGCTATGTAAGGCTTTCGTAGAGACTCAGTTTTATGTTCATTGAGTAGGAGTCATTGGAGGCTTTGATTAGAGGAGTGATGTCCTGTGACTTATATTTAAAAAGAATCTCTTTGCTTTGCTAAATATAGAGTAATGGGATTAGGACCAAAGTAGGGAGATCAGTTAAGAGGCTCTTCAAAAACAATCAGATGGCTCCAACCAAGTTGGTGCGGTGGAGATAAAACTTAGAGGGTAAAGACCTATAAGACTTCCTGATGGATTAAACATAGTGTGTGAAAAAAATAGAGGAATCAATATAACTCCTGCGATTTTGGCCAGAACATTTTCAAGAATGAAGTTGCTATTTGCTAAAATGAGGAAAACAGAAGGAAGAGCAGATTGGAGGCAGGAGGGCAGAATAGGATAAGATCAGGAGCTGTTTTGGACGTATAATATTTGATACCTTAATAAATATCCAAGTGGAGATTAAATGGGTGCTAAAGCTGTACTGGCATGAGAGGGTTCAACTCTAAGGCATTTAGTCTAATAGAAGTGGGATTATAATCATTCAAAACCAAATATTTTTAAGGCTTTGTTTTTAATGTCAAGCACAGTCCTAGGTGCTAGGATGTAATATTAATAAAATTGTTATAACTCCTGCTCTCAAGGTACCTAATGGTATATTGTTTGTGTTATAGGTGATTGAGTTATATAGCATTCATAAACATGCAATCTCAGAAATAGGAATCCTTGTTCCATTATCACATTGGTACAACTATACTTTGGAGTTTAATTGAATTGGCCATCCTCTTGAAAGAAGTTTGTTTTTTTCTATCCATGGACTCCCTTCTAAAAGTTCTCTTATGGCAGACTATTAATTACAAACAAGGCTCTCATATTTACATCTGTTTTTTTTATATTTAATGTCTACTTGATATGGTTTGACTGCCTCCCAATCCAAATATCACCTTTAATTACAATAATCCCCACGTGTCAAGGGTGAAGGCAGGTGGATATAATTGAATAATGAGGCAGTTCCCCCATACTGTTCTCATGGTAGTGAATAAATCTCATGAAATCTGATGGTTTTATAAATGGGAGTTCCCCTGGACAAACTCTCTCTTGCTCTGCTGCTACGTAAGACATGTCTTGCTCCCCCTTTGCCTTCTGCCATGGTTGTGAAGCCTCCAAGTGGAACCGTGAGTCCATTAAACCTCTTTCCTTTATAAATTACCAAGTCTTGGGTATGTCTTTATTAGCAGTGTGAAAATGGACTCATTCATCGTTGTTCTTTCCCTTTCAAGTTACTGCTAAAATTCAACTATTGAGTTGTATTTGATGAGTGCTGCCATCCCAGTATCTTTGACATACAGGTGATGGTGTTGATATTTTCCTGGCTGAACAGTCATACCTAAAAGGTGACTTATTTACTAGACTTTTTTGTTCTGTGTTTGAGAGTTGCAAATTTTTGCCACTGACACTTCAAGATCTGATATTCTTCTCTTATTAACTCTGCATGGGGTTTTTGAAGAGCCTACTTGGGACTGAGTAAAATAAATATATTTCTAATAATGCACCTACCCAGATAAAAGTGGGAGTTCTTTGATTTCTTTTCTTTTTTTCTTGTTTTGTTCTTTTTTTTTTTTTTAAAGGATGCTATAGGTCTTTTGGTTACGTTTGAGATGGTGTTATACCTGCCATTTTTCCATTATGAAAGACTACTGTGCTAAACGTTGGTGCTTGCTACTCAATCACAGCATCTTTCCTTTGAGTCAAAGAAGAGAGCAAATAGCCCTTTTTTCAGGGAACCAGGTAGCACTAACCACTCTCCACTCTCAAACACTCAAGTAATTTAAGCTGTCGCAAACCTAACACTGCTTTGGTAGTATCCCCCAGAGAACAAAGCAGTGAAAGCAAAATTTCATGTGGTTTTCTTTCATGACTTGAGCTCCTTCTGAGAAATATATCAATAGTTATGCAGGAATATTTCAAAACTGTTTCATCGACAGTGTTCTAGTGGAGGTCTTCATCAAATAACAACTGTGAAGTCATATCTGGCAGTATGAGGAGTGTTATGATTCAGCTTACAGCATGGTGGCTCACTTCTAAGAATTTCCACATCCAGAAAAATCTTTGAAAGGATAAAGTTAAAAAAAAAAAGAAGAAGAAGAAGAAGAAGAAAACCTGGATATATGGTTTTCAAATGTCTACCTTTAAAATTCTTTTTTTTTTCAACTTTTATTTTAGATTCATGGGGTACGTGTGCAGGTTTGACACATAGATGTATTGTGTGATGCTGAGGTTTGGGATATGAATGATCCCATCACCCAGGTACTGAGTGAGCATAGTGCCAAGTAGTTTTTCTACCATTACCCCCCTCTTTCCCTCCCTTCCACCTTTGGCAGTGCCTAGCTTCTATTGTGGCCACATTTATATCCGAGAATACTGAGTGTTTAGTTCCTGATTATAAGTGAGAACATGGCAGTGTTTGGAAAATCTGAATATTTATATACGTGAAAATTGGGCTTACTGTGAAGCCAACTAAATGTGGCAACTTCTATCCTAAAACAATAGTCAGTTTGTATGATCTATATAGTTGAGAAAGGTATCAATTAGAAAGACAATTATTTGTTGTCAACTCAAAATTTTTCCATGTACATATTTATACTTTTACCAATTTTGCATATATCCAGAAAATATCGTTGCCATTGATTTCATCTTTTAAAATTTTACAAAAATGATGTCATTTTGTGTAGATCTTTTTGATCCTTGCATTTTAAAAATGAATATTAGATTTTTGTGTATTATCATGTTTGTGACTGTAAATACAGTATATTGATTTACTACTCTTTAAAATATCATTGTACAAATTAACCTTTTATCCATTAATTTATCCATTCTGCTAGTGATAGAAGTTAGGCACTTAGGGCTCTTCCAAAAACCTTGAAGGAAGAGAATTGATGGTCATAGACAATTTGTCAACTTTGCTTCAACATGTTTATATGCCTATTTGTTGGTCCTCTATAAATTCTAAAGTTTCACAGAAGCTTTTTCTAGGGTAGGGACAAAATACCATAGGGTGGAAATAAGAGTTCTGAATCTTAGAACAAGGACATAAATGAAGTAATTGACAAACAAGGAACATGGCAGACCTCAAGCTTACTGGACTATTTTAACAGAACCAAAACATATGTTTCAGTACAGAAGTTTTCATGAACTTTTTCTTGTTTCTTAGCTCTGTCGCCTGCTATATGCCACTGTTTAGTATAGCAATTCTGAATATTTATTTTCTGTCAATGTATAACAGGCTCTATTCACACAAAACCTCTCAAAGATGAAACTTGCTGATCTCTTTAAGCCATTCAATATAAATATAAATCCAATGAATATCCTCATTCTTTTAGATCTGCCCACAAAATAAATGGTACACATGTGTGGCTATTCATCAGAATTCACTGGGGATCTTTATGAAAATACATACTTACATGACACAACCTTGGAAATTATCATACAGGATTTATAGCATAAAGGAATTGCATTTTTAATTTTAAAACCCTTAGATGATTCAAAAATAAGTTGAGATACAACTTCCACAAGTGTAAAGCTTAAAATTTTAGATAGTATTCTCTAGTGGATGTGATCTGAAAATTAGTCTAAAGAAGTGATAAAATTTAAAAAATAAAATGTTTTACCTTGAAATCTTTGGCCAGAATTCAGTCGATCTGCTTTAACTATTTATATTCTGAAAATGTTTGTAGCTAAGAAAGAAGCAAATACTATTGGCATCTCTGAATAGCAAACTGATTTACACCTCACAGAAAAGACAAAATGCTTTATCTGTGGAAGAGAAAACTCAAATCATTAAGTTACTTTATTCATTGTGGGTATAAAGGGTGTTTTGAGGATTATTGCCATTATGCTTTCTGAATCCAGGCCCTTATAAAATGTTGTAATTGGTTATGTATACACTCAACTTACGGCTTTTTCGTTGTGTTTCCAGCACAGTGATGCAGTCCATGACCTCCTTCTGGATGTGATCACATGGGTTGGAATTTTGCTGTCCCTTGTTTGTCTCCTGATTTGCATCTTCACATTTTGCTTTTTCCGCGGGCTCCAGAGTGACCGTAACACCATCCACAAGAACCTCTGCATCAGTCTCTTTGTAGCAGAGCTGCTCTTCCTGATTGGGATCAACCGAACCGACCAGCCAGTAAGCAACCTACATTGACACTAGCAAAGAAGTTTTCCACTTCCAGCTTTTCAGTATCACCAATACTAAAAATACTTATGTTTGAAAGTATCATTTCTTCTAGTCATCTAAGATAGATACTAATTTTCTGGTCTTACTCAGTTTTCCATTTTTCATATTCCATTGTCATAAATAAGCAGTGGATTTTATGAATAAGGTGTATATTTCATTTTAAAATAGATTTTTGTTTTTTAGAACAGTTATTGCTTTACAGAAAAGTTGAGCAGAAGCTACAGACATTTCTCACCTATCCCCTGCTCCTACACATACATAGCCCCCTTCATTATCAACATCCCCCATCAGAACAGTACACTTGTGACAACTGATGAACCTACATAGACACGTCATTATCACCCAAATTCCATAGTTTACATTAGGTTGCATGCTAGGTATTATACATTCTCTGGGTTTGAATAAGTGAATAATGGCATATAGCTACCCTTAGAGTATAATTTTTTCACTGCCCTGAAAATCCCCTGTGCTGCTTCTGTTTATCCCTCCTTTCCCACTAATCTCTGGTAACCACTAATTTTTTTTTTTTACTATCTCCATGATTTTGGCTTTTCAGAATGTCATATAATTGGAATCATATAGTATGTAGCTTTTTCAGATTGGTATCTCTCTTTTTCTGTCTCTCTCTTTCTTCTGTCTTTTTTCTGCTTTCTTTCTTTTGTTCTTTCCTTCCTTCTTTCTTTCTTGCTTTCTTTCTCTTGCCTGACTTCCTTCCTTCCTTTCCTTCCTTCCCTCCCTCCCTTCTTCCCTCTTTCTTTCCTTCCCTCCCTCCCTCCCTCCCTCCCTCCCT